CTTCAAACCATCATCTGAAACTCCACTAAGCTTTGTCAAAGCACATATCCTCTCAAAGTGATCCAAGTGCTCTAGAAAATCTTGGTTGGGCAGTCCAAAGAACTTCTTCTCTTGAACCATAGTAATCATGCTGCTCTTGATCTCATATCGATTAGTCTCCATAGGTGGAAGAATACCTTGTCTTAAAGCATAACTTAAAGGTATATCAGCAGCACCAATAGGTCTCAATGGTCTTTGAACCCAAGCTCCTTGTAAACCATGTGGACCTTGTTGTCCTTGTAAGCCTTAGATCCCTTGAAGACCTTGTGGACGTTGTGGACCTTGCAAACCAAAACCAGCAGCATACTGGTGTTCTTCCATGCTTCAACAGCTGACTTATGATTCTGCAAACCCAAAATCCTTGATCTTGAACCTCAGTTGTGGTTGTAGACACTTAAAAATAAGTGTTGTAGTACCTACAAAAGAAATTCTAGACCAAAAGAGAAATCAGTAACCAAAAATAAAAATAACAAATCTTGATCTCAAGATCTCTACAAATCCTACTGAACAAAGCATTCCCCTAATGGCAACGGCGCCAAATTGATACAAGAGTTTTTAGTCTCTTTCTCAATCACCTTTTGTACTAGTCATTGTAGTAAGGGTTTTATGTCAATCCAAAAGGGGGAGACTGAAACAGCAGGAATGCAGTATATTTCCTAATTCAAGAAGATATAGAGAGAGTTTAAATGTCTAACAACCTAAGTGATTAAACAGAACTGAAGCAAACACCACACTAAAGGTAAACAGCAAGCAAATCAACTAGAACAAAGGTAAAAACAGAGCAAATTCGAAATAGACTAAAAACAGAGGAAGGACAAGACTTGAGATAGGATAATTGGTGCTAGGGAACTTTCAAGTCAACTTATGATGCTTACAAACTCACACAATGCTATTCCTTAGGCATATGATTCATATATATGACTAATCCAATCTCTTGGTACTAATCTCTTTACTAATCATCAAATCAAGAACTAATTCTCATTAGTGAAATGACAAACAGCAAGCATTAAGACAGTCTATCAATCCTATATTGCTAAATCACTCCCTAGACAGTCAATCTCTTGAGCTAAGAAAAGCAATTCTCTTGCAAAGCAGTTCAGGCATTTCATCAAACACTTGGTGGGCATAAAATGAGCCTAAGATCCTAATCAACTTAGCTAAGGCTAATCAAGAATTAAACACAGAAATCAAGAAAGGAAATGGAAGAATTAGAACTAAGCAACCACAGATTAAGCATCAAATTCCCTAAACCTAACCCATCTCAAATCCCTAAGTCACTACTCACTAATCACCATCAAAATCACCAATTGAAAGAGAAAACGATAGCTAATCATGATTAGAGAGATTAAAAAAGAAGTTAAATGCAAACTTATATCGAAATGGAACAAAGATTCAAATTACAAGATCAAACAAATACAAAAGAGGAAATAATTGTTGGATAGCTTGATCCCAAAAATTAGGGATTTTAAGTATTTATAGGAGTTTAAGCAAAATGGCAAAATTGTAAATAAGTTGTCTTCGGTCTGGTTCAGCATCGGTCACAAGTGACCGATGTGGATGACTGATGCTCCTCTCGGGTGCTTTACATCGGTCAGCTGATGACCAATGCGGATGACCGATGTGAATCTTCGGACACTCGGCTAGATCCCATCGGTCAATGCAGGTGTCCTGTCTCTTTTCATCGGTCACAAGTGACCGATGCAGATGACTGATGTGATTCACCCGCTTCTCCGTTGCTTTGCATCGGTCACCATTGACCGATGTGCTTCGTGCCATGACCGATGGAACACCAGAAATCGCCTCCCTTAGCTCTTTTTGCTCCTTCTCAGCTTGGCTAACTCCTTGAACCATTCCCACACTTCCTTCTTGCTCCCAATAGCTTCTTAAGTACCTAAAAACATCATTAATGCATAGAGAATGCAAACTACAACCTAAATGCAACCTAAGTCTAAAAGTAAAGGAAAATGAGACTAAAGAGAAAGAAAACATGCAAAAGGAGATCAAAAGATGAACTAAATGCAAGCTTATATGATGCAAATGTATGAGATATCACATATAACGATTCCCGTGAGTAAGATGAACACACAAGTGTTGACAGTTTCACTTTGGCCTCTTATGCGGCTGCAATAACATGTGAGCAAAGGATTTTTTTTAAACATCATACACACCACAAGAACACTTCCTTTGTTCCAAATCAATAATACAATCTCGTGCTCCACCCTTAACAAAAAAACACCAGCCATTTATTGGTTCAACCTTCAAATCTCTTGCCTCATGTTCCCGAATTACCAATAGATACTCTACTCCATGGGTATGACTCGTTGTGAGACTAATAGCATCTTCACGCCTTTTATGATACCATCTCCCGAGCTTTGCTCTTATAAACTCCAACAGAAATGTGATAGGAAACCTTTTGGCTTCCTTAACAGTCGCATTGATCGATTATGTGATGTTGTTAGTCTTTATGTTGTACATGTCTCCTGGGAAATGAACTCGTGACTATAACCTTGGGTCCGCAGTCTCCAAATATGGAGCAAGTCCACGGTTTACATCTCGGATTGCATCCATGTATCGATTATAAACGTAAGTTGTATGTGCATATACAGCACCTTTCACCAAGTACATGAGTTTCTTCCCGTGAAACTTTGTCAATATGTTTTGTTGTAGATGATATATAGTAACATGGTATGACATTCTTACATGCATCAGCGATGGAGTCGTGCCGGTCAGAAACTAGGATAAGCGGATACCCATCTGAGAAACATCTACTCAATTTGGTGAAAAACCAATTCCATGAAGCATTACACTCAGAATTTACAACTGCAAAAGCCAAAGGAAATATCTGAAAGTTACTGTTCTGTCCGGCTGCCACTAGCAAAACATCTCCATACGTCCCAGTTAGATGAGTCCCATCCACAACAATCACTCGTCTCAAGTACTAAAAAACCAGCAATGAAAGCTCCAAATGAAATAAACAGGTACTTAAATCGATCCATCTCATCGCATACAAGGTCTGTGACACTTCCCGGATTAGCTCTCTCAATTTGACGCAAATAAGAAGGCAGCTTCTCATATCCATCTTCTGTTGTTCATCTCACCAATTGTTGGGCATATATCAAAGCTCTATAAGATGTGGTGTAACTGAGGTTTAGACCGAGCATCACCTTCATAGAATCTATGACGATCGATTATGCCAACTCGTTCTACAAACAGAGCCCCAATGTACTTAGGTTTACAACGTCTACGATGAGCTGATCGGTCTAACATAGAACAAGTATGATCCTTTAGATACTTTGTCACCAAGAATGTGTTTGCTTTGTTCTTTACACCCGCTCTAAGCATCCAAACGCATCATTTGACAGAACATTTTGCTGCAAACAAAACTGTCGTAGACTTATATACTTTAAAATCAAATCTCTTCATAACTGTCATCAATCGCAACTCAGATACAAGCTTCTCTTTGCTAGGAAAACTCTGATTAACAAATATTTTAGAGAACCAAGTAGTATCCAGTCAATCGAAACCACCACAACACTCTCTTACACCCTCAACTTCATTCTCATCTTTAACTTTCTCGTACTCACTGTAATCCACATCTGAGTCATCATACTTTTCTTTCATATTCAGATCAACTTCAACTTCATTCGAACTATCAGCTTCATCCTCATTTTTAACGTTTTCATCCCAATCTTCAGCGTCTTCATCCCAATCTTCTTCAGCATCAGAGCACTTATCCGCATGTCCACCCACATCATCATTCTCATGGTCTACTATCCTACTCGAAGCGCAAAGGCATACACCATGCATCTTACTTAACTCAATCACGCTTTGAACGTGTCAATCGTTTGTGACATACATAGGCAGAGAATCAGGAGGAATTTGTTGAAGCATCAGAGGTGGTAAGGGATAGGATAACTCTACCTTTGTTTCTTTTTCCAGCATATAATCCTCCTGCACCATTTGAAGAAGCTCACCATGTGTGCAACCATCTCTTAAGAACAACATTCGCCATCCTTTGCTATTATCCACCTCGAACTGCCACACTGATTCATTCGTCACCCATACTCCATAAACAGAGGGTATGTGAACCATTCTCTGTAAGAAAACAAAATTCAAACCACATTAGAAATTAAAATTGAATAAGTAGACTTCTCTGAAACTTGGATGAAGTCTACTTAGTATACTTCTCGAGTAGACTTCTTGGAGAAGCCTGCGATCAATAAGCTAAGTATCATATAAAACATAATAACTGATTCAATTATACCTATAAAATATAAATATGTAAAATTTATGCATAGGCAAAAACACTTACTAACAGCTTAGGATCACGGAAATCTAAAAAAAATCATTATGTATTGTATAAAAATAAATTTTTTTTTAAACAAAAAAAATAGACTTCTCATAAAAAAGTAGACTCCTCATAAAAAAGTAGACTTCTCATAAATTAGTTTTACAATTGCCAAAAAATTAGTTGAGTTCTCCAAGAAAAATAAACTTTTCAAAAAAGTCTACTTTATGAAATAGACTTCTCACAGATTATTTTATAATTAAAATTTTTTTAATTTTTTGGTCAATTACAAAAAAAATCTGTAAAAAGTATATTCTTAAGTCTACTTTCTATTAAAAGAATCGACACCACTCACACTAAATGCAGATTAGCGTTTGGCAATACTTTTAAGATGGGCTATTTAAGAATTAGTTAGGTGCGATATCCAACTCAACGGGCTAATTAGCGTCTAGCAATATTGTTAACATGGGCTATGTTGTTTTTGGACAACAGCATGGGCTATTTTTGACCAATTTATTTCATCACTCGGACCATAAAGTTTTGGACCTTGGCAAAGCAAGCGTTTTTCTACTGGGCCATAAAGATGCCCGCAAATGGGCATAAAGTTTAATGGGAAGTGCATATAGGATGTAGTGAGCTGGCTCAGGATAAGTAACAATATTTCAGTTCTTATCTTCATCTCATTTGTAATAATACTACAGATTTTTATTTCTTTATGGAAAACAAACAAACAAAGCATACAGACACGAAAACAGAAACTCAATATCATCATATATATATATAGGATCCCATCTCCTCTTCTCTAAGGATTTAAGAAATATTGTTAACCTTTCTCTCTGAAAATGCCGATTGTGACGGATTATTTTGATGGCGACGGCAGAAAGAACAATTCCACAGTGGGATTTGGTTGCTTGTCGTCGTCGTCTTCTTCATCTTCGATCGGTAAGGACAGCGACGACGATGAAGGTGGGGATAATGAAGCTGAGTCTCCGTACAAGGGCCCTCTTGATATGATGGAATCTCTCGAAGAAGTTTTACCAATCAGGTTTTGAGTTTGTCTGATCTTTGAATTATCTGAATATAGAAATCTTTCTGACTTGTGTGGATACAAAAACAGGAGAGGGATATCAAAGTTTTACAACGGAAAGTCGAAGTCTTTCAAGAACTTAATGGACTTTGAATCCTCACCGATGAAAGATTTGGGAAGACCAGAGAATCATTACAGTCGCCGCCGTATAAACCTTCTCAGTCACCGGATTTGTAATCACGGTGGGATCTCGAAGAAACCTGTCAAGACCACATTCACGGCAGTTTCTCCTTCCTTTGGCGATGATTCGTCTTCAACCTCTTCTCTTCCAAGGAGTATCCCGCCGTTGTATCCAAAGCAGAGCAAAGACTCTCTTGGGAATTGCGTTCCCGTTGTTGTTTCGCCACGGTGCTTCAAATCGCCGGCGGGGAGGAACATCCATAATGTTATTTGTTAAAATATCTTATATCGATTTTTGTCAGAGTTTATTGATGTCTTTGAGTCTTTGACCTGAGCTTAGTTATAATTATGAAGAAATATCTTATAAAATTGAATTGATCACCTCTCCCTATTAAGTTTCCCAATCTATTCTAGTCATTTTTTCATATTTAGATTGGGAAATTTGCCTAAATTAATAACAAATCATTCGTGTCTTAATATAGTCAACGTAATTATAATGTTGAAAATATATTTCATTTATGCGTGTGCGTAACGGTTTCGATTTTTTACAACATATGCCGCACTATTCTACTACTCTTACATTTGTGTTTTTATATATTTACTAGATTAGAATGCGCATGCATATGCGGGTTTATAATAACAAAATTTTAAATTCATTAAAAATAATTTGAAAAAATAAAATAAAAATATATATTAAAATTATAAAATTGAAATCTAAGAATTGTCTATTTTAACTTTTGTTTGTTTTCAATTAAAGTATTCTAAACACAAAATCCGTTGTGGGTCTTTAGTAATATTAATCTTACTTCAGTTGTAGTTCAACATTTTACCAACTATTTATTTCTGTTTTGCTACATTAAAATTTGGATATGCAATTCGAGTTCTCCGACTATGTTAACTCTCTTCCCCATTAACGCTTTTCATGCAAACAAAGTTTCTCTTTCTCTCTACATGCATCTCTTCTATATGGTTTTTTTTGCTTTCTAGAAGTTATGCTTCTTAAGAATTATGTCAAAAAAAATTTAGATGATTTTTGTTGATATTTCTTCTCATTGAACTCATCATTGGCATCTAGGATTTCATGTAATCATGCTTTGCAAATTTTGCATATAATTATTTTGGAATTTCCTAATTATTAAATACTGGAAACACTTTAGATATATACAATATTCATAACGAATGAATCTTGCAGGATAAAAATTTGGAATACCATATAAAGTATTTTAATAATAATAATACAATAAAATAAAGAAAATTATTGATTCTATAGCTCAGAAAATATTATTTTGTTTGAGTGATTTTATGTGTTTATATAGACTGGATTTTATTTTTGTTTTTCTTTTAAGGTTAGTGTATTAGCTATTTTCCTTTTTCAAATTAAAATATCTCCTTTAATTAACTTTATATTTTCCAAATTGTGCTTTCCTTTCTTTTTAGGATTAGTGTTTTAAGTTATTATCCTGTTCTAAAGTGAAATATATTCTTGTATCTATTTTTGCTTTATTATTAATTCAATCGCGACACATGTTAAAATCTTATCGATTTAAATCGTCATATGTCGCAATCATGTGAATTACTAACTTTGATGCATCAAACTTTATATAATAAGATTTGTGAAAAATTATGAGAGATTTTATGTGTTTATATATATGTGGGTTATATTTTTTATTTTCTAAATTATTTTGGAATTTTCTAATTATTGAGTACTGGAAACGCTTTAGATGTATACAATATTCAACATACAAATCTTAAAGGATAAAAATTTGGAATACTGAACAAATCATAATTGATGAAAATTTGAAATACCGTATAATGTATTTTAACTATATTAATACAATAAAAAAAAGAAAACTATACCTATAGAATGAAGTTCAGAAATTATTGTTTTTTTTGATAAAAAACTTATAAGAGATTTTATATGGTTATATAAATGTGGATTGTATTTTTTTAAGATTAGTTTTTTAGCTTTTTTTCTTTTTGTAAATTAAAATATCTCTTCTATGAATTTTTTTTTCAAATTGTATTTTTTCTTTCTCTATTAGGATTACTGTTTTAAGTTAATTTTCTTTTCTAGACTGAAATATATCTTTGTGGAAGCCCCTTTGATCCAATGGTTTAATAAGAGTTTAATAATGTTTCTACACCAGGAGGTCTGGGTTTCAAATCCCAAAAGAGTGCGATTTATTCTTAATTATGTAGATTAATGAAGAATGATGCAAATTAATGGAGGCAAGCTTACAAGAGATCTTCAGCGTAGTGCAAGTAAAATCCCATCCAACTTTATATAATAAGATCTATATATATATACTAAAGGAAGAGTTTGAGGTTCCTCAGGCCATCCACCTCAGCATTTTTTATTTCTTCGAGAATCTGCCATGTAAGAACACTTGATTTTACAAAGTGGAAAATATATATATACATATATATATATATATTGCTTAAAATATCATTTTTGCTGCAATTCGCATTAAAAAAAATCTGATTCTTCTTCCACTCCTAAAAACACTTTTTCATAAAAAAAAATTTTAAAACTCAATATTTAGAGTTCTATAGGCTATCCACCTCAGCTTCCAAAAACTATTCTATCATGCTGCCACATCAGATAAATAAATTAAAACTTCTCTATAATTTACATGTGGCATTCTCCAACTTCATATGAAACATTTGAGAAATAACCTTTAAAAAATAGACGTAACCTTAATTAATCTCTTCATCTCCTCTCTCACGAAATCCGTAATCTTTTAAATCAATGCAATCTTAAACCAGTTGACCTTATTCTTTTCGCTGATTAGACTTCCTCAAAATCTCGCTTTAAAGTGGCGTATTCATTTTCTTCATTCAACCACCCTCCCTCATATGCATAGATTGCTCTTTAATACCGTTTATTAATGGGCATTGATTGAAAGTTTGTCTATGTATAAAATACAATATGTAAATATAAATTATAAAATACAATATTTAAATATAAATTACCAAAAGTCTAAGTTTTTTAAAAAACCTATGTAAATACATGGTTTCATTAATTTCATAAATTAACAATTATCATACAATAATCTTATATTAATATATAACTACGATAATTTACTAAAATAAGAATATATAATTGTTTGTTTTTATTAAAGTTGGAATAATGTTATCATTTATCTACAATTTAAAAATGTCTAAAGATATCATTCACTTTCTAAACAAATATTATTTTTATTTTAATTAATTAATTCAAAAATATATAAAATTAATAAAATATTAATATTAATTTAAAAAGTTTCTATTGTAATTATATTGATTGATTTAAAGCCGAGAAAATTAAAATTTTCGGTAATTTATTTAAATGATTAACAAATTGAAACATTTTCTAACCACTAAGAAAATCAAAAGAAACACAAACAAATCTTGCAGAGAATTTGGTATATGATAAATCAAATATTGATTCAAAAAAAATTAAGCAGTTAATATTAGTATCATCATATTATAGTATTTTACCAAAAAAAGTAAGCAATAATGTTATATGCCATATTCGTCACCTAAGAACCATATATAAAGTAAGTAATAATACCATATGCCATATTTCCTTATATAGTAAATCCGAATATCAATAATATATATCATAATGATTATGAAAATTCATCATTATGATTTTTTCTGATTGATTTTTGATGAAAATAACATATAAAAATATTATATTTTTGTAAATATTAGTATGAATTGTTCAAAAAATATACATTAAAAATATTTATCTTAAAGTATTATATATGTTTTCATAATTATTTTCGTGCATGCTATTATTACATCAGTATGTGAATAAAATCAATACATTTTTTTTATATATTTTCTGATTGATTTTTGAGAAAAATAAATTATTATTTTAAATTATTATGTTGTATTTATAAGAATATTTTTTAATAAACTATTAATAAAAATATTTTTTGAAAAAATAAATAAACGTTACTAAAGTATTATATATGTCAAAGTAAGGTGTCAAACTAAGGGAATGAAGTGCTCATACAAGTCTGTACACCAGTCAAGAGTACACTTGGTATGGGTGTACACCAATGGTCCATCTTGGGTTGTACACTAGTCAAGAGTACACTCGGTATGGGTGTACACCAACGGTCATCTTTTAAAAGAAGATAAGATCACATGTGACCGTTGGAGATATGTACTTTCACTTCCTTGGTATTAGCTGTTTAGTTTATTCATTATGTCACTATCACTTTAAAGTCTAGTTGTACCCAAGCGTACTATAAGAAGGCATTAGCCTTCATTTGTAATTCTCTTAACAAGGAAATATTATCATCCTTAATTCACTCTCTCTTTCTCTTGTTCTTCACTTGTTCTTCACTTCTTTAATTAATCATTCCGCAAATTCTAACATGGTATCAGAGCAAGGTTTGTAGATCTTAGGATTACAAACTCTTGAGTCTTATTCATCTACTCTATCCTCTACCTTTCGTCTCAATACTCCAGAAATTCTTGAAATCAAATACTCTTTACCCAACGGTCCATAACCATCATCCTCTCTCCTTTAACCACTTAATCCACTCCTAAGCCCTCTAAACCATCTCAAACATCTCTAAATCTACTATATTCTCATTCGCGTACTCTTTGTTTCACTCATAAATCATTCTCTAATTCTTTACCCATTAGTCCATAGCTTTGCCCATCGGTCCATAAAGTCAAAAACATGGCCATGGAGAACAACAAGCCAATGGCTTTACCAGTTACCCTTAAAGGGGTTAACTACCTGCTGTGGTCAAGAACCACAAGAACCGCCTTGTGTGGAAGAGGTCTTTGGAGGCATGTGTCAAGTGATGCTCCCCTAGCAGCACCACCAGCCGCGGGAGCAGCCATTGTCCCAGCCGAAGAGACCCAATGGTACAAGGAAGACCAGACCGTTCTTGCTCTATTACAAAGCTCTCTTAGCAATGAAATCTTGGAAGCCTACTCCTACTGCGAGACTGCCAAAGAGCTATGGGAGACTTTGAAGCAAGTAATCGGCAATATTTCCAACTTAAGCCGTGTGTTTGAAGTCAAAAAGGCTATCAACGAGTTAACGCAAGAAGATATGGAATTCACCAAGCACTTTGGAAAGTTCAGAGCGCTATGGGCTGAGCTGGAGATGCTAAGGCCAAGTACAGTAGATCCACAAGTTCTGTATGAAAGTAGAGAGCAAGATAAAGTCTTTGGACTGCTTATGACTCTCAGCTCAACCTACAATGATCTCATTAAGCATCTTCTCAGAGCAGAACGACTACCAACTCTTGAAGAAGTCTGTTCCCAAATCCAAAAGGAGCAAGGATCACTCGGCTTATTTGGAGGAAAAGGAGAACTTGTCTCAGCTAACAAGGGAGCCTACAAGTTTGAGGAGAAGAGAAGCTCATTCTGTGATCATTGCAAGAAAAAGGGGCACACCAAAGAGATATGCTGGATTCTCCATCCACATCTCAAACCAAGCAAATGGAAG